GACAAGTATTGAGTAAGGGACACACTTAGGTTCTGACTACCACACTGTCCTAATGGCAATGACATACAAAAACCCTGACATAATGAACTCATAAACCTCAGGCTAACAGTCTGAAGGAAACAACAGGGGAGAACATAAAGGCTTTCATAATACTGGCCCCTAAAAGCTCTAAAGCAAATATGAAAAATGGTTAAAGTGGAGGAAAACTTTAAAAGGAAAAAAGTAAATTAAAGCCAATGAGGAAGGAAACAGAATTCTGAAGCCATCAGTTCACATTCTTCTCACACTACTGGAACGGAGAATGCACCGTGCAGATGTATTAACTTCACTCTCTACTGCCACCTAGTGTGCTTTTTACGAGTAAGAAATCAAAGTATTATCTATTTAAATAACTTAAGCATTATCTGTTGGAGACCTATGAGTACCTCCCCCTATTCATCTTAAGATGCAGACTTTATTAACACAAGCTTTGGCATTTCATCAATCTATGTTTAAGAGAACCTTTAAGCATACTCATCAATGAGGACAAGTTTCTTACCAACTATATACTTACCTCCTGGAAATTCCCACCCCGCCACCTTCCATAAAAGGAGCCATTTCACCCAATTCAAAATTGCCATCTTTTTAACTCTGAATTATTAGTGGGGAAGGGTTGTGCATATGCAGAAGGGCAAAGGACAACTTCTGAGGAGCTGGTTCCCTTCCCATCTTGTGTGCATTCTGGATATAAGGCTCAGGTTTGCTTGGCAAGCACTGTACCTGCCGGGCCACTTCACCAGTCCCCAGACTGAGACTTCTACTGAGGCATCCTCTCATCAGAAAACAGATTTTTGTTAAGAAACTGACTTCCTAAAACATACAAGCCTCCCCATCAATGATTTCCTAGAGACCCAAATGGATTCTTTTTTTTTCCTTCAGGATGAGAATTCACTTATTTGGTAAACATGCTCACTAAATTTTAAGTTTTATAAGCTCCACCTTATGACAAAAGTACCTCAAACCCCAAATACTTGGCAAACAGGGCGGGGGGAGGGGAGGTCAAAAGCCCTTTCAACTCCCTAGAGTTATCTTTAACTTCTTTCAAATGAACTTTTCCCAAGTCTAATACATTTACCTTTGATATTATATAAATTAGCAATATACTCTGAATTACAATAGACAAAATACGTTAATCACAACTATATTCAAACCTTTTCTGAGCCTAACTTCTACCTAGTTAGGAAACCTGACTGCTCCAACATGAAACAGATCTCTCAAGTAGTAAGTACACTTCGCTTGCCTTCAGAGCTCATTTCATGTAGTTTCAAATAACTTTTAGGCAGCATCCTAATGGCCTGTACAACTTTGATAGGGACTAATTTATCCTACCAACAATGTTGACTACAAACTCATTAAAACCATCACTTGGTTTAAAAGCAGCATAAGGGTTCCAGGATGCTAAGCATACCTGGAACACTGACCTCCTCTGGCCTCTTATTTTGGGAATAGGTTCTCGTTGAACCATCAGTGGAGACACAAAATCACTACAACTTACTTTAAGCTCATAAAAGTTCTTGTTTTTATTTTGCACTGATAGTTTACATTTGCAAATTAAAAACCTCTACCAACAGCCTGGACTTTAGAACAATGGCATATGTACGAAAGAATAAAGTAACTTCCAGCTTCCTTTCTGAAAAGAAAAGTAACTTCAAAGTTTCTTACACGTAGGAACAACTGGAAACCGAGAAACAGTTCTTAAAAGAAATAGAACTGAAAGGTGTAATTAGGTAGAAGTGACCTACAGGCCAATCCAATGTGCCATCATGAAATGTCCACATCCTTAAGCAAAATGTCCTCACGTTTTTCCAGGGAAGCAGAAAAATAGTTGTACATAATCTCTGACTTTCTTAGTATGAGCAACACGATAAAGTCAAGTCAAATGTGTAGAATAATTAATGGTGGGCTGCATACTTCATTTTTATATTTTAAGTGCTTAAAAATATACACATTTCTGCAATCAGAAATGCATGAAGATTATTTACAAGTAATTTCTCTAGGAATCAATGTTTAAACTTCCCACCAGCACCAACCCCTAGATGACTAGGCATTCCCAAGATGCCACTGTTGGTGCATGTAAGTCTCCAGGTATGGCTTCTCCTCACATACCATCAAATACAGACTGAGAACTCAGCTGCTCCCATATCCTACTACAAACTAATAAGCATGAGACTGTTCAAATAACTATGTTTTTAATGTGAAAAGGAAAATGACATTCCACTACAACTATCCACACATTTTAACTTCTTGAGGCTAAAAAAAAGTCCATTTATTTAGTTTCTGATTTATTTTTTTAAAAAGTTGGCAGGTGTTGGTGGCACACGCCTTTAATCCCAGCACTCAGGAGGCAGAGCCAAGCAGATCTCTGTGAGTTCAAGGCCAGCCTGGTCTACAGCGCGAGATCCAGGACAGGCACCAAAGCTACACAGAAAAACCCTGTCTCAAACAACCAAAAAAAAAAGTATTTTTCCCTAACTAACAAAGATCAGATTTAAAATCTATGAACACACCAGAGTCACTCAACAAGAACATGCAGAGCTCCTGGGAACCTTGTGTGATGTTTCTAAAGAGGCCAACCACAATTGGAGGGTGCTTTCTGATCTTGCTAAAAGGTCAAATTTTTGTTTGCTTTTGACTTGTTAAAACCTGCCCACGTGGAGTATTTTCAAAAGTAACAGACAAAAGTCACGCCAACACTGCCACCATCAAGAAAATTCTAAGACACCTGAAGAAAAATTCTAAGTATTGTTGGACTAGAATTTGTGAGCTTACATTTTTCTCCAAGTGTCTTTGTTAAGGTAGCACAGAATATACTCAGAACACAATTCCTTCTTGCAAATACAAGAATGAGCAAAATTAAGGTACACTGGATAAAGAAAAACGGAGACTGCAGTGCATTTGGTGTCGTAAGGCCTTTCTAGACTGTAATTTCAGTGTTAGCTCTAATCTTTTCCTTGTTTACATACATAAAGCAAAAACTCTAACATGTAAGGGTGAAGACAACTCATATATTATCTGTCAATAGAGCTGGACTTCTTTCCAAGTACAACTTGGTAAGAAAATAATCTGATCACATTTCTCAGAGCAATTAAAAAGCACCAAAAATCAGGTGTCCTATAGACTCAGAGCCATCTCCTAAGAAAGGCAGTTAAGAGGCCCGTGTGTATTTTCAAAAGATGCTACATAGACTATAATCTACCTCAAAACCAAGCACTAGATAATGAACTTTGTAAAGCAGACAATGTACTTTACACCCATCCCCATCAATGGGACAGACACTGCAGCCTCAACACTAAAACACACACATCAGATTCAACAGTAGCCTGTACTCTCATGGTATGAAGTCTCTGTTCAAACTCAAAATGCTTTATTTTTTTACAGCTACAATCAGGAAAGCAGACTTCTGGTTTTAACTGTCTCCAAGAGTCTGTGAGACACCGGTGAAGTTCTCCTCAGCCCTTCTAAGGCTTCAGACTCCTCAGCTACAAATGAAGGGACTAAGAAACAGAACTAAATTGCAGGGAACATTTCTATAAAACAGGATTTTCTTTTTCCTTTAAAAAGTAATTTAAGCACTACCAAGCTTGAACTTATCACCAATAGTCATTTTATAGAGAACTTTAAACTTTAAAAAAACTTTAAACTTTAAAAAAAAAAAAGGGAGGTGCTGATTCTATACTTATGGGATGAAAATATAAGATTTTTATCATGCTTTTCCAGTTGCGGGGAGGGAGCTTACTGTGGCAGTACTGCATACAGCAACAAGGACATTACTTGCAGAAGCAAGCTAGTAACAGCTAAGCATTAACTTCTGGTTTGCTTTTTGTTGTTTTTACAGTTAACTCATACATAAGCAGGACGTTTTATTAAAAGTTATCATAGAATATAACAATACATCATATATAACCCAAGAAATTCAGGACAACCTAAATACTTGAGAACATTTCACTTTCATAAAATGTGCACCGACTTGTAACATACTTCACTGCACATTAAGCCCCACAACCCAATTTCTATTCCAAGAGAATACAACTTTTACAAAACCAACACCTAGTTTTGAGAACACAAATTCACCTGTAATAAACTATACTCAGTTAAAAACAGGATATACTTTCTGATTCTAAAATTGCTTATCTCAATATGAATAATTTAAATTAAGACCTAAGACTAAGGTTCAGGGAAGCACTAGTCTATATACAACGATCTTTCAAATTCCAACTATGTTTCACATGGCTAACAGGCTAATCTGCAAAAAAATAAAAATAAAAAAGTTTTGATTTTCAAAATATTAATCCCCAAGGTTTGCTGAGTAATACTAATTTCTATAACAGAAAAACAACAATTGTTTTTTAGTATTATTAAGAAATACATTGCCAGGTGGTAGCAGCACAAACCTTTAATGCCAGCAAAGGTAAGGCGGAGTTCAAGGCCAGCCTGATCTACAAAGCAAGTTCCAGGACAGCCAGGACTGTTATACAGAGAAACCCTGTCTCAAAAAACAAAAACTAAATACATACATACATTATAAAGCAGAAGTATGTAAAGTACTTAAAATTCAGAACAATTTATGTCCTCTTTTAGAAGACAGCTTAAAAAAAAAAATGAAACCCTGGTAAAAATGGAGTAAACTGAACAATGATACATAGTCAGCTGGCATACACGAAAATCATTAAAATTATAGCACTTTTATATTTCTTAAAATCAATTATGGTCTTCCAAAATACCTGCATTAGCTTGAAATTCTATTCATTAACAAAAAAAGACTGAAGACTTTTAAGTTACAAATAATGAAGTACTGGGGAAGTTTCACACAAGAGAAAAGTATGCATTATAAAGTCCCACTTCTGCACAGTAGACTTTCTGGCCGCCCTGCTCCAGCCCGCCGCAGCCCACCGCAGCCCGCCGCAACCCAGCCCCAGCCCAGCCCCAGCCCAGCCCCAATGACATGGCAGACACAAACAGGCTATCCGAGCAAGAATCTGTTAACAGTTTTATTTTTTTTTATGTTAAATACCATGGGACAGGATTGTAAGGATGAAAAACTCAGTCAACAAACTGCCTCACAAGGGATAAGAAAAATTCTGCCATGATATTAGCAAAGGTAAAGGAGAAAATTTACACAGTAAGAGGCACCATTTCCCCACAGAAAACCTCTTGGCATTTCCTGAATGAGTGAGATTAGCAATCTAAATAAATCATATTTCAAGAGGTAACAGCAACAGATAAAATTTAAAGGGATTATTAAAATAACATTTACAAGACTGAACAATTCTTGAACTCTTATTAAAACCACAAAGAAAGAACAATTCTTTATTTATGAATTTCATAAAGGACTGAATGTGCAACTGACATCTGCTAGTGATGATCTGATAATATACAGTTTGTCCAGTAGCCGAACAGTTTGTTTTTATTGTGTTTTCTAACCGTAAGAGATCATTAAAGGCAAAGCCTATATGACGCTGTACACACAAAAAATGGTCACCGCGGGCCATACTACCAATGAAATGGTAGGTAAACAAATCTTTTTCTGGTCGAGAGAAAAAAAAGAAATAGCACTCTGCATGCTTCACTCTACAAGATGAATTTCCCTAGAAAGAATCCGATGAAAATGGCTGCAATTACAACCAGAAGAGAAGGAAGAGGACTGGTGACGTTCTCTCTGAAGGATACAGCTGAGGTGGATCCTGGTTTATCCGAATGTGCTACCTTTCGAAGCCTTAGGCCTTCATCCTGCAGGAAAATACACAGAAGAGATGTTTTAAACAAATACACACAGCTAAGTGCTGGAGTTAAAAGTTCCTACAGACAGTAGGAGGTCAGTAGATGTGCATGGCTAGGAATAGGAACAGAACTAACTGCTGTCTACCTTGGAACCTGTGGAATTGGGACAAATTCTACAACTGGATAGAAGTGATAGCTGAGTAATTCTATAACTCTGCCTGAACAATCATCACAATCAGTGCGTTCATGTGATGTAAATTACACCTCAATAACACTGACTTTTAAAACAGAAGCTGAGGCGTGTACTCCTATGAAACCATGTAAGCTTACCTCCAATATGCCCCATGGTATTTGACATCAGCCAGAGACTAGCAATAGCACACTACTCGGCAGGTTCACTGACTCAATCAATACAACTTGAAAATCCACATGGGAGACACCCACTGCTTCTTCGTGTTAAAGTGCCTCACTTACTCCACATAAAAGAAGAAGCTGCTCCCTTCTTACTCAACGGTTTCACGTAGCCCTAAGTTTAAGTTTCTGATAGTCATACGTTTTTAGATGTTTCTTAGGAGAAACTCCTAAGAAAGCAAGTTTCTCAAAGCAGGTGGTTGTTATGACAGTATGTGTCATGTGGTCCTGGGGTAATTACAGACACCATTCCTCAACCACACTTACATAGCATCTCCAACTTCACTACAGTTCAATTTACTATTCTGATATTAGGGTAGCGTGAAAAGTGATATACATCATTACCAGCTGTACTCAATTCCGTTCCAGACATGTGCTATATCCTCTCATCATCACACTATTGCTCCTAGCCAGCCACAGGATCCCAGTGCTAGCGTGCTGTGGAGCTAAGCTATGCTAGAACATTTAAAAGGTTACATGCATTAGGTGTATTCTCAACTTGGGACATCTTCACCTTCCAATGGGTTTATCAGGAATATAATCCTATCAAAAGTCAAAATATATCTGACCACTAACTAAAATATACCTATTTCACTTCCATTACTGGATTTTCAGAAACTTCGCTTCTTTAGTCTTAAACTAATTATCTTCAGGTAGTAAGAGCAATCATATGAGTTAAATAAAAAAAAAATTAGCACCAAGATTAAATATAAACATACAGAGACTGCTAAAAGATACTAACACATTCTTTGTACCTTCATTACAATGAACTCATTTTCAACCAAGAAAACTTACTCTCAGGTGTCGGTTTTCTTCTGACAGCTTCATCATTTCTCCCTGAAGTCTCTTACATTCTTCCATCAGTTTCCTTGTTTCCGTATCATTGAGCGAAACACTATGTGGTTTTGGCAGGGGTCCATCTTGTTTGGATGCATTCAGTGGAACAGCTTTGCTAGGTTCCATATCATTCTGTATTTCAAAGATAATGGGAATCTTTAACTAAAAACATTTATGGATTTTAACTAATAAAAATCTAAACTCTACATCTTTTCTAAAATGTCCTAAAAAGGTGACAAGTTTCAACTAATCATTAAGACTTTACTAGTACCAAATATGGTCATGTGTAGACATTTTCAATGGAATGTCAATAAATACCAGCAGTTATTACATAAATCAAAATAAGCAGCCTATTTCCTCTACTCCTGTACCCTTGGCACTTACCTTAACATAGCACTTAAAAGGTGTCATAATAATTTATCTTTTACATTATTTCCTCCAGAATTTCAAAAGCTGGAAGAACAGCCATTTCTCTTTATTATTTACCCCTAAATACGTGCTTTGACCAAGACTAGTCAGACCAGGAAAATATGCTGAATGACTAACTCCAGGTAATTTTCAATGGTCTGAGTCTACAATCAAACGAGGTTTTAGGAATTGGAAAGTACAGGACAGCCTCATAATCATTCCAACAAAATTTGCAGCTGCCTAAGAACATAGAGACAAAACCAATCTAATGTCTACTAATGGAATAAAGTAACTAAAAAATACAAATATTGAAAGGGAAACAGTAAACAAACAGATCACTGCAATGAATGGAGGAAGCTATCTGTGGTCTTCAAATTGTTAAGATTATCCAATTAGTGTGATTCATTGTGGTATACTATTTAAGAAGTAACTTAAGACACCTTTCAAAACTGCAAGGTCCAAATTCATCCTTGTGACTAAGCCTGTGATCCAAACTGTTTCCTTCATCCCAACATCATTTATGCCACTACATACCGTAATAGCATCAATATAAAGTCATTTTTCATTCTTGATTTTTAACTGTTAAAATTTTTAGAAGGCTTAGGAGGTTAAGTCAGTAATAGAGCATTTGCTAGCAAGCTTTATCCAGATATAAACTGCTAATCAAGGCATTTATAAAATTAAATTTCATTGACACTGCATAGTAGTCATTTGAGCCAAGATCAGAGGCTGTGCATAACCATTCTGGCTGCCAGTGGGGCTGCAATGGTTAACGGTGTCAACTAGACAGATCTAGGGTCACCCAGGACTATAAACAAACCTCTGCGAGAGTCTGTAAACTTTCTATACTGGGTTAAGTGAGGTGGACTACAGACCCTGAATGTGAGTAACACCATTACAGGGGCTAGGTCCTGAAGAGAACAAAAAGAAAGAACTGAGCACCAGCACTGATGGCTGTTTCCTGCCTGCAGATGCAACATGACTATCAGCTACCACTGCCAGACCAGACTGTTCCTCAAACTGTAAGCAAAATCAAGTTTTCTTCCTAAAGCAGCCCATGTCAGTACTTTGTGAAAACAAGGGGTTCTAATGCACAACACTGACCTTTCAAGTTTCACATTTGAGAAGGGGAGCTGACTTCAAAGATGAAGAGATGCTTACCTCAATTTGCTCTGAGCTTCTCTTGCTGACACTATTCTTTCCCATAATCTCTCCAATGCCCAACCAAGCTCACCTCTAATATAAAAAATCTGGACCTGATATATTTTACTAAAATATTTATTCTATTTTTTTCTTGACATTAAAATTTACTTCAAACTGAGTTTTCAAACCCCATCCTGCACAATCCAACTTGACTTTCAAAAAGGAAGACACATGCCTCCCTCAGTAAAGCAGGCAATATTCAACAACAGGCAAATACAAAGTCCTCAAGTGTTGCTTAAGAACTAAGAAAGTGCTGAGCAAAGCATTTGCCTCACACACATAAGAACATAGGCTCAATCCCCAGTACTGGGGCAAAAACAATTGAGAGAAAAATCATACTGTTAGCCCAGTGTTAACTACAAAATGATATATATGAAGCTAATAGTGTGTGTGTGTCAGGGTGGGGGGGGGTTCTAATGACTTAAATAAAAAATTTCAATTCTCAAAAAAATTTTATGTGGGGTGCAGTGCACGCCTTTAATCCCAGTAGATGGAGGATAGGACAATGAAATAAGCAAAATAAAGATTCAACATGCTATGACTCTTACCAACCAATAGTAACATTTCCTTAACACCTCAATGTGTGTCAAGACAACATACCAGTTTATGTTATACACTGTCCACTAGTTTACATTCCTTTGCCTGTCTGCAGTAGCCCCATCAGGATTTCCACTTTAATAACTGTGTGGGGGCAATTAGAAAGGAGTCAGGCACTAGACACAGAAAGCAAGGGTGAACTCTACGGCAGAGCAAGTATTTGCAATGAAGCTCTGAGAAGAGAGAACTAAAGAACATTCTTCTATCACTATTTTGAGTGAAGGGTGTCAATACATAAAGATGGTATACAGATAAACTATGACTATGCTGTCAGAATTAAAGTTTTAATTTGTAAATTGAAGTATCTGAAAAACAATGTTCCCTGGATTTTTTTTTCTTCCTACTCCAACAGCAAATGTATGGTTTCTCTAAAGAATTAGAAATTTAAATAAAAGTTTGGTTGGTTGGTTGGTTGGTTGGTTGGTTGGTTTCTTTGTTTGTAACAGGCCTCACCACATAGCCCTAGCTAGCCTGGGAACTAGCTATGTAGACCAGGATGGCCCTGAACTCACCAAGAGCTCTGCCTGCCTCTGCCTCCCTAGTGTTGGGATTAAAGGTGTGCACCACTGCACCAATACACTCAGCTAATAAAAGGTATTTTTAAAGCCTTCTTAGGAGGCTAGAGATGGTACAGTGGTTAAAAAACACTGGCTGATCTTCCAGAAGACCTGGGTGTGATTCCTAGCACCAACATGGTGGCTCACAACTATCTGTAACTCTGGTTCCAGGGGATCCAATATCCTCTTCTGACCTCTATTGGCCCAAGGCACATGTGGTGCACAAACATACAACATGTAGACTAAACACCCATACACATAAACTTAAAGTAAATTTTAAAGCCTTATTATATGCATATCCTCTTCTAAGCCAAATCAAAGTATAAGAACGTACAGCATTTAACTATTAATCTTAATAATATTTCTGAACTTTCCAGTAGTAATAAATGCTAACAAGAATTACACAGAACCCATTCAACCAGCAAACTCAGTTACCCTAACCTTATTAGCATTCAAGCACATACATGCAGATTTAAATTTTGGCCTCATTTTTAGCCATGATTTTTAAAAAAATCCCAGGGCACTGCAAGTAAACAATGACAGTTATAAAGGTTACTATTCTTGTATCTTTTCTTTCCTACAAACACAAATGCTTGTTGAAAAGCAGTGTTTGCTAGCTCCTACCTACTATATATCTGCTATGCTAATTCAAACAAGCTACAAATTCAATGTTCAGCTTATGCTCCGCAAAGCTCATTCACGGGAAAAATTACACCAATTTGATATTGTTCACTTACTTATATCCGCTCAACGCCTGTGACTCTACTGATCATTGTTTCAGAACTTGTCAATTCTACTGTCATTTTAAATACAGTCTAAAATGTAAGTTCTGGAGATGGAGAAGCTCGGCCAGTAAACTGAGCCCACAGGAAGTCCTGGGCTCTACCCCCAGCACAGAACCAGGTGCAGTAGCTCACACCTGCAATCTGAGGACTTCTCAGTAGAGGCAGGAGGATAAGAAGTTCAAGGTCATCCTTGGCTACATTAGTGAGTGAGCTGAGAAGCCAATCTAGGCAACATGAGATCCAGTCTGGGGAAAAAAAAATTAATCCTAACTATTTATTAATACACTCAATAGTACTCATCTGCTTAGGTATCTACATTAACTTACTAACACTAGTAGACTCCTACTTCTGTTAGCTCCTATGACAAACCTGCTTCACCTCTTTTAGTTCCCTGGGGTCACTCTTCGTGTGATAACTGGCAGGTGTTGCAACTGTATTGCTGACGCTGCTCATTGAAGTGACAGTTGAAGCAATCCCTGGTAGAGTTTTACCCTGAGGTAGCATGGGAAAAATATTCTCAGATTCATACCAAACTCATTTCTCCTGCATGATATTGGGAACGACTAACAAATAGCTTTAGCCTGTAAAACACTGACATCTTATTCCATAAAAATAATGCATCAGAAACAGAACATCAAATCAAAACAACATTTCTGAACTGGCTTTTCATATCTCTCACACAAAATTAGGTATGGCCTTTTGTACACCTTCACTTAGAAAATGTATATATTAAAAAAAACTCACACTTGTCATTATCTAAAAAATATTCAGTTTCGTGTTCTCTTACCTTTGATAACAATGAGAAAATTTTTCCCTTTAAAGCTAAAAAATGCTAATGATTTGTAATCGTCTCTTATACTCAGTGACCCTGTTACCTCCCAAATACACACCAGCCAATAAAAACCCAGAGATTCATATAACACTCTGGTTAGCCTACCATAACTCTACAGTTCCCTACTTACCTTTCAAATTCTCTTACTAGTTAAAAAATAATAACTCAAAAAGCTTGGCACAAAGTAATACTTAATAGCCATCCAATTTAACTGAATAAATATAAATAAGTCAATTTACTGTGTCACAAGACTACAAACTGAAACTATTTGGTTCTATACTATATATTCTAATAAATATACACTACCAGCATACTTCTTCGCAACATTTTTGTTGATGGTGCACATTTGGAAATGTATTGAGTGTTCATCTTTACTTAGTTCATGCAAGATATGATTAACAAAACCATACCTGAGGTAAACTCACAAAACCCCATCTAGGCATCAGATTATTCAATAATGCCTAAACTTCCAAAAACACAAATCTTATACTAAACCTAAGATAAACACACAGAAAGGAGTAGGTAATTTTAGTAAAAAGCTAAAAAGAAACTAATATCAAAACACTGACATTTAGAACCTTCATCAACTTCACCTATACATAATACTGAACAGGGCATTATCAACGAGTCTTATTTCCACAAAGAGTAATATGGACAAGGTGTTTTGTGTATACTTCTAGGTAGTTAAAAAGGGGTTTAAGCACCAAAAAACTTTCATTTTATTCCAGGTCACATGATGAAGGATGAGAT